AATAAGAGCATCATACAATGCCCGCCTTTCTTGCATAAGTACTGGCACAGTGTACTATGCTTACCACGACAGTATGCAGACGTGAAAGTTTAAGAGGAAATAGCAAAAGAATATGTTATGTACTCCTTATGTATCCTAGTTATTATTTGAATGTTTGACATGAACCAGTAGCCCTGATCAAGGTTGAAGAAATGTCACAATGTGTATCACAAGCTAGTCTGCTGAGGAGAGGGTTTGCATGTACAAAATGTATGATGGTGTTAAGGAACACTGATATCACATTATGCCATTTGGGAAAGCGAGTTAGATGACTTCAGACAGTTTGGTACCAAGCTAAATAAGGTTGCACCAAAAAAAAAAATGACAGGATGGTAACAGATTTGGTAGAACAGAGGTGTTCAACATTGCTTTCTGTCAACCTTCCAGAGAACACCAGTAACCGTGACAAAGTATTTTATACAGATCACTGTTGTAGGAAGTTTGCACTCTTTTGACTCTATTTGGATTGATGGAAATGAGTTTAAATCAGTGTTAATGGTCAAGACTTTACAAAATGGTAGTCTTAAATGGAGTGTCAGGCATTGCTCCTGGTTTGAAATGGGTTTATAATATTTGCAAGGGTGATAAAGCTGAAGAATGCATAAAAAGACCAAGAAATTATCATTTGACTTGATCTCTTCCATTTTTGTTTAAAACAGCATTATGCTATCATGTAGTCATTGATTTATTTCTGTTTTGTTTTTTGTGATTTGCCTTTTTTCCTTTAATTTATTTTACTTCACTTTTTTTTGGTTTTGAGATGCTGTGCAACTCACATAACAAAGTTGTTCAGCTCGACCATTAAGTTTGTTAGATCCAAGTGTTTGTTATTGCTGTAAGAAAGGGGTGACTACCGTGAGTAATTTTATCGTAAACATAAGGACATCTGTTCTAAACTTGTCTCAGTGCAAGCATTAAGGAAGGCATCAAAGGGACCCCAAAGTGCTTGCTTATATATATATATATATATATATATATATAAAATGTCAGTGATTGCTTCCCTTGACACAGCCCCTGAGCAATTGGGTTGGGCTTGTGCAAGATTCACTTTTTGCTCTTATGTGCGAGCCACACGAGAACTTAAAATGAGAAGTACTTTATCAATATCTTAAGTTCAAGTGTTCGTTTTCTTTTCAGTTCGCATATGTATTGGTTCACAACTGCTCTTAACATCTATTGTCTTTCAAACAAGTTCACAGAGAGCTTATTTACACAGCTAATCTGCTCTTTTTCCTTCCTTTTTTTCGACTTCAGAAATACAGAGCCATTTGGTTACAACAAAGAATCATTTTTTTCTTTTTTTTTCTTTCTGCAAGCTTGTCCCAGACTTAGGCTAGTCTAAAGTTTGAAAAGTATACTACATGTACTGCAGTGCTGCAGTATAAAGTAAAACACTTGCTATGTGAAGGTACACTTTGCTCAAATGTAGGTATGTATCGAATGATAGGCGCAGGACAGGGTGAGGTGGAGGTCCATGATCGCCCACGCCAGTCGGCAAGGCACCGGATGATGATAATCGAATGATAGATTGTTTGTTGCAATTCGCTTAATGTGCCGCAGGGCTTGTTTTGACTATACGAGCCAGATGTTTGGCTCCACACTGTCCTGCCTACAGCTCATTATATAGGTCTACTTCTACAGGACTTCAGAAGCTGGGCAAAAAAAATTGATACTCCTTCTGATAAACACCCTGCTTGCTTAAGCCCCCCCCCCCCCCCCCCCCCCACACACACACACACTCACACACCCACACACACACACACTCACACAGACGCACACACACGTATAAACAGACACCCCTACAACACACAGTTTGTGCGCTGTCCACCCTTCAGCCAGACGTACCAGTATTTTGCATGACTATCCTCAACGCATGTATCCTGATTGGTTGCATAAGATAGCTGTCCATCTCTGATAGGTCAGTCATAGTGTTCAGTGTATGATACACAATAAGTGTGTAATGAGCCACTGTCCGGGGTGATCAATGGCCCTTTGGAAAAGAGTAAACAAGCTTCATTGAAGAAAAAGAATGCATGAAACCACATTGGTGAGGGTTATTTGTTTTGAAGGTAACTTCTTTTGGCTCCAAATTTCCTCTTTTAAGTGTTTGGTGAATACAAGATATTTTAATTAATTTTTTTTTAAAATCCCTCTCCCTTCTTTGGCTCAGAGTTTGTTGAATGCAAATTATGTTCAGAATCCATTACAAAGATATATGTTTTTGAATCTCCATTTCTTTTTATTCAGACACAGTTAGATTATCTCATTCTCCGGGAATGGTTGGACTCTATGGCACAGATGACATATTGTTCCAGACAAGTGATTGGTTGGCCATCACTTTGGCCAAGCTTGTGTGGCGGTATGGCACAGACTTCTACAATATCCAGAGCTGGACCAAAAATCACATTTTCCCCAAATTTGACAGGTGAACTATTGCTTTGAAATGTCTTGTTTCTAACTTTTAGAACTTTATCAGAATTTCAGAATATCTTGCTTAAAATGTGATCTTTATCTTTGAACATGGTCATTTGGAGACAAAAAAACCTTGGAACTTGTGTGGAATGGGTATTTTAGATTTCCTCATTTCGACCTCTTAGTGTTAGACCCCGCTTCGCAATTTTGAAATGTGACCTATGATTTAATATTACACCGAGCAGTTGATTTGCTTCTTCCTAAGTCAAATGCTATCTTAAAGCAACTGTAGGGCCTGATTAAAGAGGATATTTTTGAAAGATCTCATGAAAGGAAGAGTAAGCTGAATGTGCTCAAAACAACTTTGTAATGAACCCAGATTGCCAGCATTCTTGCACTTGCCTAACTCTTCTGTTCAAGTGTAGTTAAGTGTAAATGAAGTGTAGCGAAGTTGTTTGAATGCCATTATGTACTTTGAATAGTTCAAGGTTATGTTGTTTTTGTAATTTTTACTTAAGAATATGTGGCTTGAAAAGAGTCCCTTTTAAAAATTGAAGGGTCGTTTTATCTTCATGTCTTGCTTTATCTTTTTTTCACAGGATTTACAAATTTCAAGATCAGGGCCTGTCTTTCACGACAGTGGAAGATTTACTGGGAGCCATGGGAGAGGATATGTTGAACATGACCAAACATTCCATAAAAGACGTGCTCTTAGATGCTGGCTTGTCGCAACGCTTTGTTGATGAGTTTGGTATGGCAGCTATGAGGAACAATTATGGCCAGACCACAGATGTTCACGGATTTGTAGGTGAGTCCTGCTTGGAACGCTGTATGTGTCTTCTTGAGGGAAGCACTGACACTGACATCTTGAAGGAAGAGGGTAGATTTTGAGACGGTAAAGTAGTTTTGCCTTCTTTACTTTACACTGATGGGATGTTACATTACAACCAAAGTTCTCGATGAAATTCATTAAACTAACTCAGAATAAAGACAACACATTTGGGTATCTATGTATCAAAAGGCATTTCTTTGGACAGAGTAGTACAGTGGAATCCTGTTATCACGAGAGGGAGGGGACTGGTGTGAAACTTCCATTATAGCAGGATACTACTTGTTCTAAGGGATCCAGTAATAAATCCAAGGGAAAAAGTACAGTAGGCCTAATCTATGAGTCTGGTTTTCTGTTTTTTTCTTTTTGTAATCTCCCCTGATGATGATTTGATTCAGCATGATCTCTTGGTCTTACTTGAGAAAAAATCGAATAAGGTTTCTTTCTCTAGCGTTAGTGATGTTGCCAGCTGGGCGTTGGCGATCAGAAAGAAAGGTCTCCAGGCTAACTCGCCCGCTGTGTTGTTCCCCACCCGACCACACCCTGCCTGTGGTGCGTTCCGTCTGCTTGTGCACGTCACACATTCGCTCCGTCCTTCACAGCATTGTGACCTCTCCATCTCCGCATCGGATAAGTGAGAGGCTTGATAGGCCTAGATAATCTAGACTAGGCTGGCCTATCACGCGATGCGTTCCGCTTGTCTGTGCATACCACATCCTTCCCACTTATTTGCTCCGGCCTTCATTGTTGGCACACGTAGGCTTTCCCATTCTTTTTTTCGCAAGATCACCAACAAGTTTCTCAACTGGCAAGGTTTTACATTATGAATATATGGCCTATGCTCTGTGCACAGCAGCAGCATTATTCTGCTATAATCGACACACATGTTTGTCTGATTGCGCTATCGCAATATTTTATTTACAAAGATAAAGATTGGAAAAAATGGGGTTTTAGCACAGTGCCTTTGTAACAGACTTCTCGTTATTTCAGGACTCGTTATAAGTGGATTCCACTGTAATCCATAATTGTGCATTTTTGCATTTTGTTGATTGACCAAATTTTAAAAGTGTGTAGCGGAATTCCGATTAGAGAATGACTTTCATTTATGATATAAGCCTGTTTAGATAATATATTTGTGAATAAAGCATGCTGACAAAACAAGCCACTTTTCAGATTTTAGCCCAGAGAAAATTATATCAAATTTGTAGGTGAAATTTCACAAATTCACAAGTGGGAAATAATTAAAGGCATGTTATATTTGAGTAAAAGGAATCCAGTGAAAATTAACAAATTTAACCTCAGTATCGATTTTAAACCAAAATCTCTAGTCGTGGATTGTGAGATGTAACTCATTTTGTCGGCCGCCTCACATTTCATACAGTACACTAAAATGAGTATATCTATGGGTCAGTGGATATGCATAGTTAAAGTTATATTTTGATAATTTTATTAGAAGTGGTAATTGTTTGAAAATCCGGGTAAAATATTTATTGCTTTGTCTCCATGGTTTTACCTGTATCCTCCCTGCCATGCTATTCTTTGTCTCTTTCTCTCCTCTCTCTCTTTCTCTCTCACTTATTGTATGAGACATGAAGAACTAGGATTTGAAGTTCACTTCTCAAGTTGTAAAATAGAATGTCTTTTTGGTCTCTTAAATTCATTTTCTGATGTAAATTTCTACTCACCCCAGGTGCTGTGTCCATGGCAGGTGTGGAGCCTGGCTTGTGGTCTGTAGAAGGAGGTAATCAGAGGATTGCCGAAAACCTCCTTTGGGGCTCTAAGGCTACCTTGGTGGAGGCTAAAGTGAGCACAGTGGCCTTGATCAAAGATGAACTGGGCACAGGCAGTGTGTCTTATGAAGTAGAGTATGAGCAGTCGGGAAAGACCAACTCTCGAGAATACGATATTCTCATTCTAGCTATGCCCTTGGAAGGGACAAAAAACGAAATTAATTTTGTGGACTTTCCCGTGAAGGTGACACCGTTCTCCCAGCCATTCCACAAGATTGTGACAATGTTTGTGCAAGGCAGAATCAACAAGACTACTTTTGGTCTCAACAGTGCTGACGATTTTCCTCCGGATCTCTTTACTATAAATCGTGATACATTTTTCAATTCTATTGGTAAGCAGTCGCCTGTTGATTCTCATCAAAAGCCTGAAAAGTCTCCGCCTTCAGATTACGCGGTGTGGAAAACATTTCTCAACCAAGTTCCCTCTGAAGAACAAGTAGGAAAGCTCTTTGACAAGTACGAGGATTTACGGTTTGTGGACTGGATGGCTTACCCAGAGTATAAACCAAATATGGACTTACCTCCATTTATGCTGTATGATCGCCTGTACTATGTAAATGCTATTGAGTCAGCAGCGGCTGCAATGGAAATGAATGTTATTGGCTCTAAAAATGTAGCTCTTTTAGCTTTTAATCAATGGCAAGGTAACTTTGATAAAATTGATGAACTTCATTTACCTTCTGTTTCAAATGATAAGTCGGATTTGTAACATTTTCCAGTATTTCTGTTGATGACATATTCTTTGTGAATAAAGCACTACTGTGCCTAGTTTACTGAGTCCATCCTGTACTTGGGAAAATTTTGTCTTCTGCCTCTGTTACGCAAAATATTCCTGTCTCTTCTGACAATCTTTGTAGGTTATTTTATTTTGTTTCATTCTGTGAAGGCAATAATATTGTATTCTTGAATTCCTTTTTATCTGCTTTTTTATATAGTGTATTTCTTGCTTTGTAGCAGGTGCTGCCTTCTTCCCCCCTTGATTTTTGTTCTATCCCTGTTTCCTTATTCATACAGTTTTATTGATATTTTTTCTGCTGATAATGTTCTTATGGCAGTTTGAGATGTCTGCTGCAGAGTGCTTGTTTGTAATGAATTTTGATGTTGTTATATGAGTTTTGTTGTACTTTAAGCTTTTCTGATCTTGTTGATTGACTGCTGGAGCTAAACTTAAAAGTTGATTGGCACAGGCCTGTTCAATGAAAAGATATGTTACGGTTTCTATTTTCTCGTAAGTGTAAATTGGGTATGAATATCTGCAGGAAAGAAGCCTGCTCTAAGGAAACTTGATAAAGTCGTGGTTCATAGACCGCATAGTTTCCAAAGGAAAGAGTTGAAAATTTGTTACTTTCTTCTTGACCCTTGAGGTTAATTTACTATGAAGCTTACATTTTTAAAAACTTTTGAACAAGGGTCTCGGTTTTGATGTTGCATACTATATTGTTATATTTCTATCTGTTTTAAATAAGTATTCTGTTTGCTGAATCGTTTGTCCGATCACTTTTTTCAGTTGTTTAAAGAACCTATCAATTTGATGAAATTCATTTTAGTCTGACATCAGGCTCATTGCAATTCAAAAGTTCTTGTTTTAGATAGAAATTGTTACAGCTTATGCTTTGCTCGTCTTACTCGATGCATGGCTTTGTGAATGTTTGCTACACCATTCTCTTTGTCCTGTTGTCAAGGAAAGTGTTAGAGCTCTCACACACAGGCTCCATACAGACCATACTTAAAAAGTGCGTTTGCATTCAACATTACTTTTTCCTGCTTGACATGCACAAAGCAGCCAGACCGCTGCGTCCAGATTTTTTCCATCCACCGCACAATCTGGGTTGCGTCAAGCATGCCATACATTTTCTGGTCTGTGCAGACAGAAAAGGGGAGTCGACGTCACTAAACACGCCGGCATACACACTCCACTACACACTTCGCACGTGGTACCTTAGTTTGACTACCTTTGGTGTAATTGATTCCCCTCAGTTTATGTTTTGTTTCTGAACCCCACTGGCACATAACCCCAGCAAGGATTGAAATGTTGTTAGCGTCATTCGAAAATATTCCAAACTTTTCCCAACATCAGCAAATATATGGGGCAACAATTTGAATTCTCCCAAAGCTCCCTGGTCTTTACAAATTGGATGAATCCAGTGACGCTGTTTGGATGCTAGGGCTTTTCTTTTGTACCACCAAAGCTGAAATATCTTGTGCTACCTTGTGAGCACCATCTTGAAAACGGAAAAATCTGTATTGTCTATATGGACGCTGTGTGAACGGTATAACCGCACCTTTCTGTACACAATTTTGCTGGCCCAGAAAAAGTATGGTCTGTATGGAGCCTGTGTGTTTTTAGCCTTAAGTATCATTATCGGTCCTACTGAAGGTAGAGTAACTTTTGTGACTGAGTAATAAATATATGCCTTGTGTGCTCTTTGTGATATTCAAAGCTGTCTTCTCCCTCCCCCAGTTTAAAAAAAAAGAAAATGAGAAAAAGAACCAATGGCCATTCCGGTTTTCATGTTCTTTTATTGGAATGTTCCCCCTTCATTTGGTACTGCTTTGATGATATATTTTTTATCTTTAGTGTCACTGTTTCAAGAATGCGTAAGAAAGTTGTTTGGTAAACTCATCCAACCTTAGTGTCCACTCCCCATGGCAGAAGCTTCTTCCCAAAATGAGGAGATACCGCTCCTAGCGGCCAGTGTGGTGCACACAGGTATAAAGAGTTTCTCATATTGACAGCTATGAATGCTAATAAAACTTGAAATGACACTTTTCCGAGAGAAGCTACTTAGCTACCTCTCTTTGTCTTTATGTTTATGCATGTCCATTCTTAGTCTTGAGTAAAATTTTGTGTAGGGAAAATAGTTGAGTCGAGTGGAAAAAAAAATTCAATTCCGTCAAACCATGTATATCAATTCTGGGACCAATGGGAATGAGTTAAGTAGTGCACATGTATAGCTGAAATTCTGACATGCCATGCCATGCTGTGTATGATTACAGGGTAGTAGAAGGGTTCCACTGGCAGGTCCTACTTCTTTACTATCCCTCTCCTTCTGATGGTGCTGTCAATTAGTCTGACTTTTTCCTTGCATAAAGTCCATTACTTTTGTTGATGTGTTCTCTTTGCTCAAAAAAGAACAATTGTGTATGAACACAAGCATTCTGTGACTCCTGTGGTTTTTTTGTACGTGTACTTTATTTTTCCAACAGACATATGTGAGGCATTGTGATGAAATCAGCGCTCGTCAAAATAATGAAATCGAAGAAAAAGGCATTTTTTCACCAGTTTGGCAATTTTTATAGAAATTTTTTTTTTGGCTAAACACATTGAATTTCATGTGAATTTTACTGAAAAACCTTTTTTGAAGGCACTAAATATGTAATTTTCAGTTTTCAAGGACTCTTAAGCTATTGAAGTTACCAAACTTTGGTGGCCATTTTCTCATCAATTTAGCCCCTGAAACCAGCATACCCCACCTTCTTCAATCGTAAATATCTCAACTTTATTCAACCTTGATCGATATTTTTTTCATTGAAAGCAAGGCAAATGAATAAGCTTTCAGATGATATCAATAAATCTACAATCCCAAAAATTGATGAGCGTCTGATTCCTCTTCTTGACACATATGAATTTGTTATGTTTTTAAAAAATAATTTTATTTATTTCTGTGGTGATGCAGTCGAAATGATTAATTGTGAGGCCTCATGGTTAAATCTGGCGCTCGTCAAAATAATGAAATCAAAGAAAACAGATTTTTTCGTCGGTGTGGACATTTTTACAAAATTTTGGGGGGGGGGCTCAACGCCTTTTATCATGTCCATTTAAAAACACATTTCTGTATGAATTTTACTGAAACATGTTAAAGGCACAAAAAAATATGAATTTTCAGTTTCCAAGGACTCTATGCAAGTTACCAAACTTTGGCCACCATTTTCCCGCTGATTTTACCTCTGAAACCAGGCCACCCACCACCTTCTGCAGATGTAAATATCTAGACTTATTCAAGATATAATAGGTACTTTTATTTGATTAAAAGAAAAACAGATAAACAAGCTTTAACTCTAAGAAATACTAAAAACTCCACATGTCCCAAAATTGACAAGTGCCTGATTCCACCATATTGTGACACAATTGTTTGTGATATAATGGGCTGACTTTGTCACTGAGAGTTTTGCTCAGAATTCAGATGCTGCTTGGTGAAAGTGTTGGCTTTATAAAGTTGTAACACATGTATCAAGACAGGAAAGTTAGTCAGGAGCAAAATCTCAAACCGCATCTTATCCATTTCTATTAGAATACAGCTAAGCCAAGGGCTAGATAATTCAGAATACAAATGGATAGGTTGAACGCAGAAGACTTGGAATTCCGTATCTGTCGAACTGTGCCTGCGGTCCTGTTTTTTTCTTCTTCTTTATCTTTGTAAGATAACCTTTGAATTGCGGATCCCCCGAACTACCGAGACGAGTCCTGACGAATTTGAGCTATCCGTGTTATACTGTGCTTTGAAAAAACCCAAGTTCAAGAAAGTCCTCTTGGGGATTTGAATGAGGGTTTTCAGCAATACAGTCCAACTTATATTAACTAAGCCTATCACATGTCCTTTAATAAGTAGGCTACATGTGATTGTTATCTATCTGTCTTACAACACCCCTTTGTATGGTTTTCTTGTATGCTGCTTACCGTGGTATTTAAAGCAAGAATTTGGTTTCTTCACTGAATCTATATTACGTTTTATATGTTGAGTCATATACAGAGTACTGGACTGAAAACTGAAATTCATATTTTGCCTTTCTCTAATGCCAGTACCCTACCTACATTTTATTGTTTGTACAGGTCATATGTTAGTGTCAGCCTAATTGTTGTTGGCATGGGTCTGTGGACTTTTTAACTGTTGTCATCACTCACTATCATGATAATATATATATTTGTTTTTTTGACAAAGTTTGTCATAAATGTTAAATTTACGAAATAATTACTTTCCTAAATAATTTATTAACAACTTACAAGAACTCTTAGCCTGATGTAAGTTCACTTGTCCTGCATAGAGCAAGAGAGGGCGAAGGGGTTCTCATGGTCGAGAGGTTACGGTGTTCACCTCTCATTCAGTAGGTTATAGGTCCGGGGTTCAGATCCGGATAGCGACGGAAAAATTTTCTTGTCTAAAAATGTTCTCTTTTCACCTTCTTCCCTGTTCTCAAATAATGTTTTGGCATCTGCTTCCGTCTCCACTTTCCGCCCCCTCCCCCTCACCTCCTTTGTCCCCTCCTATGGACTTCTAGCTCTTTCTACAGCCTTTCTTTCTACTACTATTCCTTTGCTCTTTCTTACTACAATCTTTCAGCCACACCCCTGGTCTTATGGTAGGTAACATCGAATATCGAGCCTTCTTGGATAAGGGCGAAAAATCTTGGAGGTCCCGTGTGCAAAGTGCACACGTTAAAGAAAAGATCCCTTGGTGGTCCAAAATCGATAAGAGTAGGCTTTGGCCGCCAATCAAGCAAAATTCTAAACTTCCTACCAACTGAAAATATTTAATGTGTCCCGTGCGCTCATATATGACCTTATGCAGTTGCAAGCGCCGTAAAACACTTTTTTTTTAAAGGGAGAGATACAGAGAAAGGACATTTTGAGAGAGATATTGAGTAGTGAACAGTTTGGGAGGTTAGGAGGGGGTGAATATGTCAGTAGGAAAAGGGAATAATATAAGATCTCATTAAAAGAAACAAAAGCAAAAGGAAGACAAAGATCAGATACTGGTGTCCTATAAAAATCATTATCATTTTTATTCACCCGCTTGCCAAAAATTCAGTTTACTGCATGTCTTTTGTTTCTGTTTCAGTTTCAGAAACAGATTGATTGTAATATCTTTTACAGGAGTGAACAGGAGTCTTTCAGGATGTCTGCAATTGTGATCTCTTTGACATTGTCAGGGCACATTGTTTGCATTGACTTAGGCTACTAAACTTAAGTGCTTTTATGTTCTATGAAGTAGTATTACATTATTTTTATTGCTATTTTCTTTTGTGTGAATGATTTTGTTTGATACATGTTATACTTTAGTCTGATACACATTGTTTTTGCCTCTAGTCCGCCCCACGTTCTTGACCCGCGGGACTCATGTCTTGACTTAGCTCTGACACCTCTAGGTGACCCTGTAGAGCTTTCCCTTTACTGTGGCCCTTTAAGACTCATGTCTTGAATTTACTTCAACCCCTCGTTGTTGACTCTTACTGTCTTAGGCCTCATATAATGGCTTACTTCTGACCCTTCAGAACACTATTTTGTTTGTTTGAAGGAAAAGTTTGAGTGACCAATGACAGAGGCATGATTAATAAAGGTATAAAAAAGACTGTCAGAGCTGTCAATGATATGTATTGGGTATGTCATTTTACCAGTCTTTGTGAAAAATTGGACTTGTCAGAACTGTTCCAAGAGCTCCTTTTGTGCGGGAAGCTGAAAAATATATTTAATAAATTTACTGTGTGGAATCTTTCTTGCGGGTGGTTTGTTTGTATTATTAGCTAGGTGTTCATGTTCATTCCCTTACATCATGAGTGATTGGATAGCGCCACTAGTAAGTCCAACTTCTTTTCTTTCCTTCCTTATTTTTTTCTGTCTGTCTGACTTTTTCTCAGATCTAGATGGCCGTTATTGTGTTTTAATAGGTTTCTCTTCACTCAAAGAGAAAGTCCTTTTTCATGATCATTTTCATTGTCATCATCAGTATTACTTCAGGTATTTTAAAAAATCTCTCTTCTCTTCTTGGTTATTTCCAATTAGCACCGTATGTGAACAGTAATTTTGGGTCTTCCACTTTATCTTGTGCTTTCTTTGTTCATGCTTAATTAGATGTACCAGAGTCTGTGGTGTAGAAGTTTAGCTCTTTGCTGTGGCAGCTAGATGAGCAGGATCAGCGCAGCCTGCCTCACAAATGATCAGTGTTAGGTAGATGGGGGTGTTCAACATCAAAATTTACTACTATAATAATTATAAGATATAGGTGTCTTTATTGTAGCGGTCAGGTGTTCTGCAATGGCTCATAGAAGACCTGAGTATATGTACAATCCTCGTGTTGGGAGGTGATTTTATCAAGTACATCTCAATCTTTTTGCAGGGACACTGTATGCCTCTCAATCCGAGTAGACGTACAGGATGGAAGCCCACCTCCGAAATGACCTAAATTGTTTTATTTGGGGGTACAATTTTCATACTTTAAAAAAAGAACAGTTTTAGTCCAAGTGGATCGGGCAAGATTTACCATGTTTTTTGGGTTTTTTTTCCAACAATCCCATTAATTGATATAAGGTGCTAGGGGAAAGGTAAAACAATACAGACAGAAGGAAAAGCAGATTTGCTGAAATATAAGATAAGATTTTGTTTCTGACTGACTCCCCCTCTTCTCTCTCTCTCTCTCTCTCTCTCTCTCTCTCTA